CCTCTGCTTCGACCCCGCAGGCGGGGAATCAGCGCCGGGCCCCGTGGGTCCCCCCTGTGGCGGGGGTCGAGTTTTTGACTGCTGCTGGTGGGCCCGTGACTGCACAGTACCCGTCCTTGCTGCCTGTTGATCCCCCTCCCCCGTCTGCAGGTGTGGCTCACTCGTTCTCGGCCCTGCTGGGACCTCAGCGTCCGGTTGCGGTGCCGGAGGTGACCCTTGGTCAGATCTGGCGCCTCTCGGAGGCGCTGCGGGTCGTGCATCTGGTGCAGATGTATGGTCATGCCGCCCTGTCCCAGGGCGACTCACTGGTGGGCGGCCCTCGGGACGATTGCTTCGCGGCTGCTGATCGCCTCGCCGAGCTGCTAGCGCCCGTGTTGGCTGCGCCCGCGCCGGGTGGGCTTGCGGGGGTCGGGCCCCTTGGTTCGGCCGTACGTGGGCTGCGGCGGTTGTTGCATGCAGGGACTGGATCCGGGGCGATCGCCGCAGGCACGGTGTTGGTGCGGGAGCTCCATCGCACGCTGTCGGGCCTGCTTGCTGTGTTTGACGCGGACCAGATGTAGTGTCCGTCTGCGCGCCCCGGGAGCTCACCGCGTGTGGAAGCGGGCTCCTCTTGCTCCATGCTTTACCTAGGCTTGTGTGGGTTGTCCTATGCTGGTATGCATGCCTATAGTTGCTTGTCTTGCGTGTTTCTTGCCACCCCTCACGCGCGGCCGAAGGCCGCGCCGTCGAGCGTCGGCCGCCGAAGGCGGCCGGCGCGAGCCGCTGGGTTAGGAGAGCAAACGAACAAGTAACTAAACTAATGAGGCTCTAGGACTAGATCCTAGGGCCTTTATACAAGGCTGGAGAGGGCTGGAGAGGCTAAGGACTAGGCCTCTCTCTCTCTCTCTCTCTCTCTCTCTCTCTCTCAGCCGCTCGGTTAGGAGAGCAAACGAACAAGTAACTAAACTAATGAGGCTCTAGGACTAGATCCTAGGGCCTTTATACAAGGCTGGAGAGGGCTGGAGAGGCTACGGACTAGGCCTCTCTCTCTCTCTCTCTCTCCTCTCTCTCTCAGCCGCTCGGTTAGGAGAGCAAACGAACAAGTAACTAAACTAATGAGGCTCTAGGACTAGATCCTAGGGCCTTTATACAAGGCTGGAGAGGGCTGGAGAGGCTAAGGACTAGGCCTCTCTCTCTCCTCTCTCTCTCTCTCTCTCTCTCTCTCTCTCTCTCTCTCTCTCTCTCTCTCTCTCTCTCTCTCTCTCTCTCTCTCTCTCTCTCTCTCTCGCTCTCAAGCAGTCCTGTATTGATATAGTTCAAAGGGTACAAGCAGGGCATGGATAGTGCACACGACGCTATGCATGGATCCTATCCTTGTATGGCACACCTTCCTTGTCCTAACTCTGCACCCCCCAAATCCATGGCAGCCTCCATCCCGCGAGCTACCCCTACTGCCCATCATCTGTGGCCCATCCTAGCCTTGTTCTCGTCCCCGGCTGCCACCCTCTAGCCCTCTATATTCCTAGGTCCCACTCCTCCTCCACCTCATCCTCCAGGACCTGCCATAGGTCCCCCAAGCCTGGCTTCCAAGGGTCGGCCCATGCCTGGGGGTATGCTGCCTCTGCCACCCTGTTGGATTTTGCCAACATGGCATTGGCTTGACAGCGCTGTAGCATCACCGACCAGCGCTGTCGGTAGTGCGCAGTCAGCCTAGAGGCAACCGTGGTTAGCCTCCCTTGGCGGTGCTTCTTCCTGGCTGCGCTCTTGCCCAGAATACGGAAGAATTTCTGGGTGTCCCTCGCTAATCCCCCATATGTTTCTACTGCTAGCCCAAGGACCCCCGCATACTCGGGGCGCTCTTCATAGAGTCCCCTTTTAGTCCTGGCTGCATCCTCTGCTGCCCACCCTGGTGCCTTTCTGCCCCGGGTGTCCCGCCTCTGCAACACTGTGTCGGTCAGTGTCACATCCGTCACGTAGGTTTCACCCGATTCCTTGTCACGGAAGACCAGGTCCGCCCGTTTAGGGTTGACAGGGGGCAAAAAGCCGGTCATCTTGTGTAGGGTGGTGAAGTCCGCCTCTCGTGCCATGCGCAGAGCCGCGTATACCAACGCGTTGTGGGTGTTGGTACGGTCCCCTCCATCGGCGCATCTCAGCAGGTGATTGGGGAGGCTGTTGTCTGCTATCTTGGAGCGCTTGCCGCGGCAGGGGCAGTGCTCTGTGACCGGCAGTGTAAGACCGAGCCGGAAGCCGAGGGATATGGCGAACTTCCCTGGTGAGAAGGTGAGGTCTGCGCGCGTAGGGATGGCGTATAGCCAGTCTCCCGCTCCCGGCGCCTGCAGGGCTATTAGCCGCACCACGTGCCCATTGTCTGTTCCCGGCTTGTCTACTCTGGTATCCCCTATCAGTGCCGCTGCTCTGTCCAGGTTGACCTGACGCGATAGCTCTAGCTGCAGCCGCCCCTTCCCCCCCTTCTGGCGGTGGTGCTCATGGAGGAGTTCTAGAGCACTTTCTGGCAACTGGCCCTTAAGGTCTTGCAGGGTCTCCCCTTCCCGTCCTGCCCCTGCTGTGGTTTCAGTGGACACCAGACCTGCAGCCCGCCGCAGTGGGTGATCTGGGTGCTCAGGGATGCCGCTGAGTAGGGAGTGGGCGGCGTCCAGGGAAGCCAAGTATGCTGCAGGCGGCTCTGATACGGGATCGATCAGGCCCAGCCCGCCCAGGCACACCGGCAGGGTCGCCTGCCTCCAGAGAAAACTCTGCTCGATCTCCTTCCGTGGCACGTGGAGGTGTGCCGCCTGTAGGGCCGTCCAAACCAGACCCTCGCTCCAATCCCGCCATTCCTCTAGGGGCAGCAAATCTGCCGGTGTTGTGCGGAGCAGGTACGATATGCGCCTCGAGATGCATCGTGTGAGCAGTAGTAGCGCGTGCTGCGGGTGCATGCTGCCGATCAGGTTCAGCGGTGTCGCCACCGATTCCATGTACGTTGTGATCATGCGCCTTCCGTATTCCCTGGTCCCGATCGGGCTCCCCAAGACTCGTATGCCGTCCACCGCTGCCACCAGCCCGTCGGGAAGGTCGTCGGGTATGCCGGATGGGCTCCATGCCGATGACTTCGAGAGGTTACAATGGAGGCCGCGGCTCGCCAATCCCTTCGTGATTAAACCCAGTGCTAGTGCGACGTCTGGTGCTGCTCCCACGATCGTGATGTCGTCGGCGTAGGCCATGACTGTGACCATGGGGAGCATGTCTGCTGCTACCTGGAGCGTTGGTTAGATGGCTGCTGCGAAGAGCATGGGGCCTAAGGGGTCTCCTTGGTGGACCCCGCGCGCGCTGTCGATGTGTGTTGCTGCGAAGCCTTGGTCCAGCAAAAGGTGAGATGGCTCGCCGTATAGCATGCGCACCAGCGGAATGATGCGGCTGAGGCCGGAGAAGTGCAGGGACTCAAAGAACCCTCGCCGTTCAACTGAGTTGAATGCATTTTTTATGTCGAGCTGTAGCGCCACCCGTGTCGGATCCTCAGCTAGGAGGGCTCGAACTGTGTGGATGATGCACTCCGCTCCCCCAGGTACTGCCACACCGAATTGTACCGGTAAGAAGTACTCTCGGATAGGCACGCTGAGTTCGCGTAGTGCCGCCTTGGCTGTGAGGCGGAGTATCGCCTCCCTTATTGCTATGGGACGAACTCCACCGTTGGGCTTTTCGAGGGCTATCAGCCGTAATGGTAGCAAGAGTTCCGTCAGATCCGCGGGCAGGTGGTTTCCTAAGACGTGGTCGATGGTGCCGTGCAGGTAAGTGAACACTTCACCGTTAGAGAGCCGCGTCTCATAGGTGCTCGAAACAAGTACCTGAGGGTCCAGCTCCAATCCCGTTGGGGCACTTCGCCAGAACCTCGCGAAAGGCCTCCGTCAAGATCGGCGGGTTGCTCGTGGAAAAGCCTGTTACCCAGTTTGGGATGTCGTTGCCCGCCTCTGGGTGTTTCTGCTTTAGCACTTCCAGGGTTGCCTGCGAAGGCTCCGCGAGTGGCGACGTTTGTAACGCTGCTACCGCTTTTGCCAAGTTCGCCTTGCGCACCAGGCCCTCGGCCCTCGCACAGAGCACTTCGGGGTCTGGTTGGTGACAGCTCGGTTGGGGGTTCTGGGGTATGGTGCACGCCTGGGAGTATAGTAGGTCCCATTCTTCCAATTTGAACTGGTCCAGCCTCGTCGCCACCTCGGCCCACTTGTTTCCAGGTACCTTCCCAATGCCGGATCTGAGTGTGAGTCTCGGCAGGAATAACAACATTCGCCAGGCTCCGAGGCAGGTTGGGTTCTTGGAAAGTCGTAGCAGGGGGATTGTGAGGCAGTAGCTGAAGATTCCTAGGATGTTGGGAGGAAGCTTCTGCACCAGGAAGGGTTGGGTGCTTTTGCGCAGGGGTGACAAGTCCCACTGCTTCACGTTTTGCCACGTGGCCTCATCATTCGCGATATCTGACGCTGAGCGTTCTTTCCTGGTTGTCCTCGCGCCAGCATGGGCGCTTGATTCGGCCACTTGTGCTGGTTCAGCTGTTCGCGCCCTCCTCTGTCCCTGATTTGCGCCAGTGTTGGGGACCCCCGCTTCTGCCTCTAGGGAAATATCCTCAGAGTCTCCCTCTTCTGATTTGATATATTCCTCGTCAGGGCCCTCCTCCTCTTCAATCATTGGGTTGGCATTTTGCCGTGTGCCAGTTCGTTCTGGTCTGCCGTGTCTCTCCCGCCAGTTTCCGGATCTGGCTTTTTCCCTTGCCACCGCGCGCACCAAGTTCCCGAGGCCCCCTCTTCGGCCTCGTCCCCTGCCTCGCGCTCCTCTCGCCGCCGCCCCGGGCGCCGTGTTTCGCAGCGGTCGTCCTGTCGCGCTCCGGTCGGCCTGCTCCCGGAGGACCTGCTGCCGTCTTGTTCCCCCGTGGTGGCGGCGGCATCCCGTCGCAGCCCCCGAGTCCTCGTCGTCTCCCTCTGCGACGTTCTCCCTCTCGATCGGTGCTTCAGTTCGGATTTCGCAGCGTTGTGGCGATGACGGGTCGGCGCCACCTAGCGCCTCGTCGTCCGCCCGGGGATCGTCCTTCTGCTCCGCCCACCCCACCAACGGCCCAGGGCGTGGAGGTGCCAGCCCTGCTCCGAGCCGCCGCTGATGTTGTTGCTGCCGTGGCTGGTGGCGAGTCTTCCCATGCGCCTGCTGTTCCGCCCGTGCCTCGGGAGCCGATATATCGGTCCCCTCGTGGGCGAACGCATCCTCATTTACGGGCTCGGGGCCAGTCGTTCCGCCGCCGGCGTCCTCCCCGGCCATCCCCGTCGTTTGCTCCGCGGTCCGCGCGTTCTCTGGTGGTTGCCCCGCGGCCTCCCGCGCACCCGGCGCCGCATCTGCCACCATCGCAACTTCCCGCGCAACCTCCGCCTCCTCCCCCGTCATCCCATCCGTCGTCGACGCGGTCCTCTTCGTCGCAGCGGCAGCCCTCGTCTGCGTTGGCGCCTCAGTTGTCTTCTCCGTCGATGGCGCCGTCGGTTTCGTCGGGTCCAGGTTCAGTGCCTGCGCCTCCACCTCCGCCGACTTGGGCGTCCCACCTGGCGTCCCCGCCGCCCCCGCCGCAGTCTGCCCCTCCGCCATCTGCTGGTCCACGCGCAGAGGCGTCCCCTTCGGTCCCGGCGTCGGTCCCAGGCTCCGCTCCGCCCCTGCCTCCACCTGGTCTTCCCCCTGCTGCGCCCCCGTCGGCGCTGCCGCCTCCTCCTCCGTTTGCGTATTCGTACCCGCCTCGGCGGGATGTGACTGCGCCGGCTCCGCCTGCCCCTCACGGGCTCCCTCCGGCCGCTCGTCGGTGCCTGCCTCGTCACCAACACCCTCTTGTGCCACGGTCTCGGCTCCCCGCCGCGCGGTTTAGGTTTGTGAGTGGCCTCCCGTTCCGTTCCTCCTTTGCTCGCCGCGTGTTGTTTTCCCTGTGGTGCCGCTCACATGTTGGGTGTTGCCGTTTCCCCGCTCCTCGTCATTCTCCCCCCCTCCCGATCCCGCAGCATCCGCCGGTGCCAGGCCTCCCTGGAGGCTACTGGAACGATGACGAGGTGCCGGGCACACCTTGTGACCCAGACGTGGATTGGTGGGGGGCTTCGTGGCCCCAGGCGCAGGGTGGGGGGGACCGGAACTGGGGCGCTCCTCCCCCTGACGGTCCTTGGGGGGAGCCTCGTCCTAGCGATGGGGCGTACCAGGCCCGTGGGATGCGGTTGTCGGATCTTGGTCGCTGCGTGACAGAGCTGTCCTTCGTGCTGGACCTCCTGCACGATGCCCTCCAGTCGCGGGAGGTTGTGGCCCGGGATCCGCACCTCGATGAGGACCAGGAGGCATGGACGCGCCGTGCGGTGTCGAGTGCGTTGTGGGACGTTCTCCGTTTGCCGCTAGAACCTGAGGACCCTTCGCTGGACGACGGTCCTGGCGCTGCGGCTTTCCGCATGGTAGCCACGGCTGCTGAGGAGTGCCCGCTCGGCATCGTCCCTGCGATCGCGTGTGTGCTCCGGTGGCTCGGGCGGCGGGTGGAGCGGATGTAGGCATCGCCTTTGCTGCAGCCTTTGTTGCCTGCTTTTTCTTCCCCATTGCGGGGACGTACCTTAGTGTGGCCTCTTTCTGTGTTATGCTTGCATGCCTGTACTGCCCCCTTGTAACTGCTTCTTGGCACTCTCGTCCTTGCCACCCCTAACGCGCGGCCGAAGGCCGCGCTGTCGAGCGTCGGCGGCCGGCCGCGAGCCGCTGGAGCTTGGGGCCGGCGCGAGCCGCTGATCCACACTCACCAAAAATAATGAGTGGGTTGAAGGAATGTGGGAGGCTATATAGGAGGTTGTACTGCTTATAGACTGGCTGCATGAGCTACACTAAGGCATAGAGGCTAAGAGAAGCCTCAAAACTATGCTAGGCTAAGGCTAAACTAGGCTAGGGAGCTGGGAGAGACTGGGCCTGGTGCCTCTCTCTCTCTCTCTCTCTCTCTCTCTCTCTCTCTCTCTCTCTCTCTCTCTCTCTCTCTCTCTCTCTCTCTCTCTCTCTCTCTCTCTCTCTCTCTCTCTCTCTCTCTCTCTCTCTCTCAAGCAGTCCTTCATTGATATTATACAAGGTACATAGCGGTCCAACATGCCTTGTCCCTACAGCATAACAAAGAGTCAACAGCATACCACCGGCATCCCTACGCATGCAGTTCCCGCCTCTCCCTTGAACCAGGACCGCCTCCTAGCCTAGGTGACCCCAGTGCCGCCGCTGTGGCTGACACCCCCGGCCTGAGGGGTGCCCTCCGGCCCACCCCTCATATGTCTAGGGGTGGTCCCCACTCCAGGTCGTCCTCTATTACCTGCCAGAGGTCTCCCAGGCGGCACCTCCCAGGGGTCGGCCGCCCCCTGGGGATGAGCCATTTCCGTGGCTCTGTTCGATTTAGCCAGGAATGTGTTTGCCTGGCTGCGCTGCAGCATTACCGACCAGCGTTGTCGGTAGTGTGCTGTCAACTTTGAGGCTACCGCAGTTAGCCTCCCCTGCCGGTACTTCTTTTTAGCAGCCTGTGTGCCGAGCATCCTCAGGAACCGCTGTGTATCCCTTGCCAGGGCCCCATACGTCTCTACCGCCAACCCCAACACCCCCACATAGTCCGGGCGCCCCTCATACAGCCCCCTCTTCCCCCTTGCAGCATCTTCCGCTGCCCATCCTGGCGGCTTCACCGCCCTGGTGTCACGCCGCTGCAGGACCGGGTCTGTTATGGTCACATCCGTGACCCAAGTTTCAGCTGACTCTCTGTCCTTGAAAGCCAAGTCCGCTCGCTTGGGGTTGACTGGTTGCGAGTAGGTCGTGGTCTCGTGTAGGGTCATGTAGTCAGCTTCTCTTGCCATGCGCAGCGCCGCATATACTAGTGTGTTATGGGTGTTTGTCCGGTCCTTCCCCCCCCACACCGCAGCAGGTGGTTGGGCAGGCTCAAGTCCTCTATCTTCCCCCTCTCCCCCTGACATGGGCAGCTGTTGGTCACCGGCAGGGTCAGGCCCAACCGGAAACCTAGCGCTAGGGCGTATTGCCCTGGTGAGAATGTGAGATCAGCCCGCATTGGGATCGCGTGCAGCCAGTCCCCCGCCCCCACTCCCTGTAGGCTAATGAGCCGGACCACGTGGCCGTTGTCATTCCCTGGCTTATCCATCCGTGTGTCACCCACTAGTTCCGCCGCCCTGGTAAGGTTGATCTGTTGGGACAACGCCTCCTGCAGGTGGCCCTTCCCCCCCCTCCTTCCCATCGGCTCCCCTAATAGCTCCTGCGCCCGAAGCGGAAGTCGGTTCCTCATGTCCCTCAGAGTCAATCCCCCCCTGCCAGCTACCCCCTCCCCTAGTGGTGACACCAGCGCTTCCGCCCGCTGAAGTTGCTCGTTAGGAGAGTGTGGCATCTGCTGTAGCAGTAGCTGTGCCGCTCTAAGTGATGCCAGGTGCGCCGCCTGCGCTTCCGAGAGAGGATCGATCAGCCCCAGTCCTCCTAGCGCGATGGGCAGTGTCGCCTGCCTCCACACCAGGCTCTGCTCCAATTCCTTGGATGGCACATGCAGTTGTGCCGCCCTTAGCGCCGTCCATAGCAGCCGCTCGCTCCATCCGCGCCACTCCGCTAGGGCAGAACGTCCGCAGGAGTTGTGCGCAGGAGGTAGGATATCCTGCGCGAGATGCACCTGGACAGCAGCAGCATGGCATGTTGAGGGTGTAGCTTGCTGATGAGCCGGAGTGGCAGTGCGATTCTCTCCAGCGTTTCCCGCATCGAGCGCCTGCAGTACGCCGTGGTGCCTATCGGGCTCCCCAGGACCTGCACCCCATCCACCGCTGCTGCCAGCCCTTCCGGCAGGTCGCCCGTGTGCCTTGAGGGGCACCACGCCGAGGATTTGACGAGATTGCAATGTAGGCCGACCCCTCGGAGCTCCTGGGTGATCTTGTTGAATGCCCGTGTGGCCGCTGCAGGGGGTCCGACGATCGTAATGTCATCCGCATACGCCATCACCGTCGCCTCTGGTGTCTCCACCGCGGCCGCCAGCAAGGCCGGTTGTATAGCGAGTGCGAAGAGTGTGGGGCCGAGCGGGTCTCCCTGGCGGACGCCCCGTGCACTTTCAATGGAGCCGATGCTGAAGCCGTCATCAAGCAGCAGCTTCGATGGAGCGGCGTACAGCGTCCGCGCCAGGGGGAGTAGAGAGATTAGGTTTGTGAAGCGCAGTGAGTTTAGGAAGTGGCCTCGTTCAACCGAGTTGAACGCGTTTTCTATGTCCAGCTGCAGAATTTCCCTAGTCTCGTCTTCCCCTAGTAGCGCCCTCGCCACATGTATGATGCACTCCGCTCCTCCCGGTGTGGCCACCCCGTACTGCACTGGCAAGAAATATTTGCGGATTTCTCCCGATAGCTCCCTCAGCGCCGCTTTCGCCACGATTCGTAGTAGCGCTTCTCCTATGGCTATTGGCCTGACGCCGCCATCCGGTTTTCCTAATGCGACTAACCTGGCTGGCAGCAGCAGGTCCCTCACTGGCCTGTCCTGGAACGTGCTGAGTAGGTTGTTAACTAGGTCTTTGAGTAAGAAGAAGACTTCGCCGTTCGTGAGTGCAGGGTCGCGGAGGTGTTCGAAACATGTGCCCGAAGGGCCCGCCCCTATCCCGTTTGGACACTTCGCCAGGACGTCGCGAAACGAGTCAGCTCCAATGGCGAGTGCCGTTTCCCCGTAACCTCCCAACCCCACAGGTATCGCCATTTCCGCCTGTGGGTGTTTCGCCCTTAGTGTGTCAAGGGCAGCCTGCGATGGTTCAGCCAGTGGCGAACTTTGTAACGCCGCTGCTGCTTTCGACAGGTTGGCTTTGCGAACCAACCCCTCCACACGTGCGCAGGTGCCTTCCGCATCTGGCTCGTGCCTGCTTGGCTGGGAATCTGCCGAGAAGGTGCAGGCCTGGAGGTACAATCCCCCCCATTCCTCATCGCGAAATTGTCTGAGTCGTCTCTCCACCCCTTCCAGGCTTTTGCCCGGCAGTTTCTCCATGTTTGCCCTGAGTGTCAGCCGGGGTAGGAATTGCGGAATTCTCCAAGCTCCCATGCACCTCGGACGCCTCGACAGCCGCAAAAGTGGGATGGTGAGGCAGTGGCTGAAGGACTTCAGGATCTCCGGAGGAAGCTTCCGGATCAAAAAAGGTTGCGCGCTGGAGCAGAGTGGATCCAGATTCCAGCCTTCCACCTGCTGCCATGTGGCGTCATCATCTGCGATGTCACTTGGTGAGCGCTCCTTGTTGCCATTCTCACTGTCCCTCCCTGCCTCTGATTCGCCCACCTGTCCTCCTCTGGCTTGATTTTCCTCACCATGCTCTCTTATTCCGCCCGTCTCCTCCTCCTCACATTGCCAGCTGGGACGCCCTCCTCCGCTTCCACCGAGGCCTCTTCCGACTCCGCCTGTTCTTCCCCCATATATTCTGACTCCTCCTCTCCTGGGTCGTCAGTTATTGGATCCCCGCTCTGCACCTCTGGCCTCCGTGCCTTTCCCGCCAGTGTCCGGATCTTGCTTTTTCCCTCGCAACCGATCGGGCCAGCTCGCCCACCCTCCCTCCCCTGCCTCGCCCTCGACCGCGTCCCCTCGGGGCCGTTTTTCCCGCCGCGTTTCGCGGCCGATTCGCCATCGCGTGTTCTTCAGCCTGCTCACGTAACGCCCTCTGTCTATTCGTCTCTGTCCACCGCCTTCATTGTTTCTGTAGCTGCCGCTCTCTCTCTCTCTCTCTCTCTCTCTCTCTCTCTCTCTCTCTCTCTCTCTCTCCGAGCGGCTCCTCGTGGCCTCTCTCTCTCTCTCCCCTTTCTCTCTCTCTCTCTCTCGTCTCTCTCTCTCTCTCTCTCTCCTCTCTCTCTCTCTCTCTCTCACTCTCTCTCTCTCTCTCTCTCTCTCTCTCTCTCTCTCTCTCTCTCTCTCTCTCTCTCTCTCTCTCTCTCTCACTCTCTCTCTACGCAAGTGCACACAGCTGGGGTGCCACCTTGGCCAAGTTCCCAAGTTCATCATGCGAAGCAAGCGAATGCATGCCACGCGGGCTTCTCCACACATCCAGTACGCGACGAGAGCTCGAGGGAGTGCTCTGGGCACTGCGGACGTTCGCAACCCGAATCGCGGATGCTCACGTCCTGGTCCGAGTGGACAACCAGGCAGTTATGTTCATCTTGCACAAGGGAGGGTCCCGCCAGGCGGAGCGGTCATCCAGTTCTGTCTCAGCAACACAACATGCCTCGCGATTGAATGGATTCCGAAAGAGCTCAACGTCCATGCGGATGACCTATCCAAGCTGCAAGATCATGATGACTACTCCCTCCATGCGGCTTGGTTTCGCCTCTTAGAACGCCACTAAGGGCCCCACACGATAGATCTATTTGCTAACGCTCGGAACAATCAGGTCCAACGCTTCTGCTCCAAGATACCGCACTCCGACGTGTTCGCCGTTGACGCATTTTCCATTTCTTGGAAAGGCGAGAGATGCTTTACCTTCCCGCCGCCACACTTAATCCCTGCTACACTCCGCCATGCCAATCTGACGCATGCG